CAGAAAACACGTGTCTTTGCGTCAAAGCGAGATATAAGATGAGAGACTAAAACTCAAACTGTAGACATGTCTGCAACAACACACTTTGTTCCACTTCAAATCACTAAGCGTGATGGCCGTCTTGAGAAATTTGATGACTCGAAGATCTTCCACGCCATTGAAAAGGCTGTTCAGTCAGCCAACACACACACTTCAACGTCTGAGATTAGTGAAATAGTCTCGAACGTTGTATCCAATATGAAACACTTGACGTCGAAGACCCCAAACATTGAGGAGATCCAGGACTTAGTGGAGAAGGCGTTGATGACTTTCAAGGAGTTTAGTGTAGCCAAGAGTTATGTCTTATATAGAGAAGAGCGCTCGAAGATCCGATTGAGTGAAAGTCGACTGATGCAGACGTTCAACAGCCTCACCTCCCGTGATGCTAAAGATATGGACTTAAAACGAGAGAACGCAAACGTCGACGGGAACTCTTCGATGGGGTTAATGCTCAAATTTGGATCGGAGGGGTCCACTGAGTTCACCAAGTTAATGTTAATGAAGCCCGAGCATGCTACTGCCCACGAAGATAGAAGAATCCACGTCCACGATTTAGACTTCTACGCTATTGGAACAACAACGTGCTGCCAAATCGACTTGATTGATATGTTCACTCGAACGTTTTCTACTGGACATGGGAGCATTAGAGAACCAAATGATATCTCCACGTATGCCGCACTCGCGTGTATAGTCCTCCAAAGCAATCAGAACGAACAACACGGCGGACAGTCCATTCCAAATTTCGACTATGCTATGGCCGAAGGCGTGAAGAAGTCTTATTACACTTGCGTATGTGAAACTGTGACTAATTTACTTCAGATGAAGTACGCGATATTCGAAGAACAAATGAAGAAGGTCTTGGAGAACCAAAAGGAGTCACTTCGATATTTGAAAACGGACTGGGTTGGGTTGAGTGAGGTTATACGACAGAGATACCACGTCGACTTGACAGAAGAAGATGCGAAGAACATTGAGACAGTCGCAAATCGAATGCTTGAGAGAAAGACGTTCCAGGCTATGGAGGCTTTGATACACAATTTGAATACGATGCACTCAAGAGCAGGTTCACAAGTTCCTTTCACGTCTATTAACTTTGGGACAGACGTCTCGGATGAAGGTCGACTTGCGACTCGAAGTGTTCTTAAAGCGACGTGGAATGGATTAGGAAATGGAGAGACGGCGATATTCCCAATTTCGGTGTTTAAAGTGATGGAGGGAGTCAATTACAATCCCGAAGACACAAACTACGACTTGTTCAAATTGGCAATTAAAGTCTCTGCGAAACGTCTGTTCCCAAACTTTGTGTTCTTGGATGCGCCGTTCAATAAGAAGTACTACAAGAAAGGCGACTACCGAACAGAGGCAGTTGCGATGGGGTGCCGCACAAGAGTCATTGGGAGCATCTTCCCTGAGAGCGACGGGATTGTGACTGGACGAGGAAACTTGAGCTTCACAACAATTAACCTCCCCCGTCTTGGAATCAAATACGGCATTTGTGAGGGCAAAAGAGAAGTCTGTGAACTTGAGAACTTCTACAAAGAGCTGAAAGAGACGATGGATTTAGTCACCGATCAACTGATTGAGAGGTACCGATTCCAGTGCAATAAAAAGGTGATGAATTTTCCGTTCATGATGGGGCAAGGCGTCTGGTACGGGTCGAAAGAATTGAAAGAGTCTGATACACTGGAAAGCGTCTTGAAACATGGAACACTGTCGATTGGATTTATCGGATTGGCGGAAACCCTTGTTGCCCTCACAGGGAAACACCACGGAGAGTCGAATGACAGCTGGGGACTTGGGAAGAGGATCATCCAATTCATGCGAGACTACTGCGACGAGACGAGCAAAACTCACCACTTGAACTTCTCTTTGTTGGGAACACCTGCTGAAGGACTCTCTGGGAGGTTTGTCAAATACGACGCAGAAGTCTTTGGGAAGATTAAGGGAGTCACTGATAGAGACTACTACACAAACTCATTCCATGTCCCTGTCTACTTCAAAATCACTGCTGCCGATAAGATCAGAAAGGAAGCCCCGTTCCATGAGATGTGCAACGCAGGACATATCACTTATGTTGAAGTCGATGGAGACCCTTTGAAGAACCTCGGCGCGTTCGAACAAATAGTCCGAATCATGAAGGAAAGCGGAATTGGATATGGAAGCATCAATCACCCAGTTGATAGAGACCCTAAATGTGGGTATGTCGGAATCATAGATAACGTCTGTCCAAAATGCCACAGGAAGGACGAGGACCATGACTGTAAATTTGAACGACTGAGAAGAATCACTGGGTATCTTGTTGGAACATTGGATCGATGGAACAATGCAAAACAAGCGGAGGAGAAAGATCGTGTCAAACATGCTTAAAGTGTCTTTAAACTATTATTATTTATAATTTATAGTTATTGTATAATATAGTTACATTATAACTATAATATATATATTATAAAATTCTATTATTGTTACAATTTGTTATTTTATATACTAAAACAATTAGAAAAGTAACTATAGTTCTATTTACTCTTTGAATTGGAAGTATTTGATATGAAAGTGGTGACTTTGGTCTGTTTGTTGTGTATGAAAGTGTTTACAGAATTGACATGTAATGTGTTGACAAAGGTACTGTTTAGAGTTAATTGATTAACGTTATTTAATAGTATTTTATTATAAAATCCCCCATATATTGTACAAGAGTCAACATCACTCAATATTAAAGTACTTGGGTTCTCTGTTTTGTGAGGAATTGTAGTACAGATGTTCATTGTGGCATTGGAAATGTCAACGACGTTACACTGAACAGATGAGAAATTGAGAGTACCAGTAAAGGAATCGACTGATACACTTCTGTCGAGTGCGCTATAATACACTTCTTTGGCAGTAAAGGCACAAACAGGTTTTGTGTCGACGTAAAAAGTAAAAGGGAGGATATATTGAGATTTCACATTAATGAGCTTGATCTGTGTTAAATCGACAGAAACTCCGTTTGGAAGAATTTGTGGCTTATCAAAAAACATGAATGAAGAAATTAAAAAGTCGGTCCAAGTGATTTGCTCTAAATTAGAGAAATTAATAAGAAGAAACTTTCCTTTGTAAGAATCGATCTGAAGAGTATGTAAGTGACAGTGAGAGCACAATATATCACCAAAGACATGTTTGACTGAAAGTCTCTCAAGACTCATTGGAAGTGTTATTGAGTCGATAGTGGCATTTACTATGAACAATTCTTTAATCGAATTGTAAGACGACAAATTGAAAGTTGGCTTCAAATGGTTTTCATGTTGTGTGGTGATCTTATTAAAGGCTTCTGTAAACGAAGAAATGGTGAGGCGATTGGTGTAACACTTTTTTAAGGTCTCCACGACCAAATCAGTCTTGTTTGACATATTAAGGAAGACATCGACGTATCGTACAAGAGTCTCTCTCCGCGATTCAAAGCAATAATTAAGAAGTGGAAGGTATTTATACTTCAGTGTCTTTGCATTCAAAAAGTTGACATAGACCTCCACGTTCTCAGTATACTTCAAAATTGGACTCAAATCGATTTCATGAGAAGAAATTGAGTTGTTGATGATTACTATGTACTTCCGCGTCTTCAGTTTGGGAAATGAAAAAAAGGAAAGTTGTTCGAGTTGTGAGAGGTGCAGGAGTATCACCACTTTTTGTATGGAAGGGATGTCAAAGTCTTGGAAGTAGAAATCGTCATAGAGATGGTGCGGGAGGGTCAGAGACAACTCTTTGAGATTAATAAAACTCTTAAAATTCGGTTGCAAGAGAACAAAGTCGTCGTATAAAATATTCATCTTGCGGACTTTAGGAGGAAACCAAATCGTCTTAAGAAGCAAAAAAATTGATTTGTCTTTTAAAAAGCAGTTCACTTCGACAAGTGGAAT